TCTCTCTCTTTCTCGCTCTCTACGCTTCTTTACCGTTATATAAATAAATGACGCTATTGCGACAACCTTAATGTAGAATACTGCAAAAGTAAGTTGTGCGAGATGGAAATGTACGTATAATAATTCAGATTTGAAGGATAAAATTCGCTGTGTGTCCAACATATTATTGGAAGAGTTGCTGTGAGACAGATGGGCGAACATCAGCCACACAAACTCCGCTGTATTTCAGTTGATTTGAACTCACATTTCACTGCTAACGCACAAAATATGAAAACAACCGTAGTCAGACGTTGGTCGAGGTCCGTGTGGGAGAAGTTGCTTCCCTGCAGCAGCATCGCCGATGGCCGATGGACTCATGGCGAGTAACCACCTGTTCTCCGAGTCCCGCCCCCCCGTCGGGTGTCTGTGACACAATAACATTTGATATTACGGATACTTTATATTATATTATCTAGAGTATTAAGATATTTACAGATGCGACGGAAGTGGCGTCACCCGGTGGTCGCTCGGGTTTCTTGGACGGAGGCCGTCTCCATGTCGCTTGTCAGTCACAGTAAGCCCCGCCCCCCCCCGCTCTGTGGTGGATGTGATGGGTCGTCGTGCGGTCAGTGCAGAGGAAGCGCGTTCTGCATTGACTCATGTTAGAATAACTGCACATTAACCCCCTCAGCGCTGCACAGGTAATGAGGAGACTCAACAAACAGCATCAGGGGTCTCTCTCTCTCTCTCTCTCTCTCTCTCTCTCTCTCTCTCTCTCTTTCTTAAAAATAAACACTCTCCTTTCATCTTTTTGTCTCTCACTTTCCACATTAATTCTCAACATTTCTTTTGCCTGCCTCCTCCTCCCCCACACACGGATGCTCTCCCTCCCTCCCTCCCTCCCTCTCTCTCTCTCTCTGGGGGGTTGAGCGGTCCTAACGTAAGCGCCAGTCGTCTCTCATCATCGCCACAGTGTTCCCTGAGCACTCGGCAGTCCACGTCTCTCCCCGTGTCTCCTCGTCTCCTCGTCTCTCTCCGTGGACGTGGCTCTGATAAGTGGAACTCGATGTCTGCCGTCATGTTCTGTGGTCTGAGGAGGGACTTTGGGGCAAACAGCGTCGGTGAGGGAAATTCTTCCTTTAATTATTCGTTCATTGGTGTAAAGCGTCCACGGTTTTTGGTGATTTGGAACTACGGCTCTCAGAAAGCATCTGTCCTTTCAACATGTTTTTGCCGTTCTGCAGAAGTTAAAATGTCTTCTGGTGGCATTTTTTCTTTCTTTTTAAATTTCTCAAATCAACCCTCATGGACTCTGGAAAACGATGATATATTTAGTCTTTTCTTGCGTCTGTGTTTAATGGGTCTTACTGTGGGTGAAGAGACTGCCACGTGTTGGTTAAGAGCCAAAGTTATCACATTATTACATTAGCTCTTGTAGAGAGATGATGGCAATAAGGTCTTTGCTAGATCATAAAGTACAGCGGTTTTCTGTCAACATTTATTTATTGGTCTTTTTTTTTTACTTTTTCGATGCTGTGATCCTCCACGTCAGTAACGCGTCAGAGAAAAGTCAAGCAGCCTGAATCCAACCGGGCAAATCACATTTTCCTCTGAGTGGAGTGTCTTAAAGTGTTCACCGGGGACAACTACTCAAGCACCAAAAAGACGTCCGTGAGACAATGTCTCCATTTATTCCCTCAGTAAACATCGTAAACACGAGTTTATGGTCTCTTCTTCAATACGGCATGATGTGCATTTAGTAAATGATGGCACATTTAGAGCCGACATAAAGCGTAGTGTGCTTTAGGGCGGGGCTACTCTGTGATTGACAGGTCACAGCCATTACCTGAGCTGTATTTTGCGCTACAACGTCCAAAATTCGAGGCTTCGTTGCTGGATTGCACAAACCCACAGGTTACGTCGGGGTGAAAACATTCACTCTTCTACTACTTCTTCTGCATTAGGAGACAGCAGGCGTCAAACATTTCATGGAGGTGAAAGGGTTCTGTGGGTCTGTGCTGTGACGCTTTGTCGGAGCTACAAGCAAAGCGCCACTCAAGCCAGATCCAACAGACTGAACACGGCGACGCAAAGCTCCCACCGCTCACCACATGGAGGCTGAATGTCCTGAACCGGAACCAGGCTCGTCTGGGTCCAATGACCCACGAGTCTTACAGAGTCCACGTGTTCAAAGGAAATGTACGACGCTCATTGTGGTTTCATGTCTGCTGATCTGCTGCTGTAGAGATGGAGAGACTTTAATTTGGTCCCTGTTGAACTTCCATATGTGAGAGGACTCCTGTGGCACAGACCAGCTGCCACTGCTGCTTCCACCAATAGCTTCTATCTGCTTGTGCGCGGGAAGAAACATTAAGGCCGCTTACTGCTCTACTTTGTAGAAGTGAGAGAGCTTTATTGTTTTTCCTGGAGGATTTAAACTTGAAATTACGGTTTATCAGAAAACAAGTGACACAAGAAGAACAGGAAATCCACCTTCAGTAGCAACTTGAATTCAGCTAACCAGCCGCGTCGCTAACTAGCCGCGTCGCTAACAAACCTCATCGCTAACCAGCCGCGTCGCTAACCAGCCGCGTCGCTAACCAGCCGTGTTGCCAGGGGCGACGGTGAGCTGGTGGCAGCATCGGGGTTTAACCTTTGCTGCCACGGCGACCAAGGGTTCGCTGACCAGAACACCTTCCATTAGGTCGGGCTTTAGAGCTCATAAGCGCTACCTTTCAAAATAAAAGTCTACGAACGGCCCGCCGGTTTGTGGCCTCCTTTGCTGTTAATTTGAACGGTTGTGACATTTGCACATCGCACCACACACAGCAAAACACGGCGCATCGTCTCATGTGGCCAATTCCAACACTCACACCACGGCTTTGTTAAACACGCTCGTTACACGTCACCCCCCCTCTCACACACACACTCACACACACACACACACACACACACACACACACACACACACACACACACACAGAGGCACAGATCTATAACACAATAGATGGATCTAATAAGTAGAACTTGCTGTCTACCGTCATGTTCTGTGGTCTGAGGAGGGACGTTGGGACATGTGACAGTTTTATTTTTAGGATGAGAAATTGTTTGAAGAAATATCGTCTTGTGGGGAAAAATTGCAAAGCTGCTTATTCCTTTATTGGAACTCACGAGCTACAGCTGCAGAAAGCCGAAACCATCGGGTTGAACAGAAAGCAGGAGAATAACCAAATAGAAGCTTGGATCAGGCTCCAAAAAGGAATCTCATCTGATTTCTCTCCAATTAATTGCTGTATCCCACAAAACAACTTGTTTTGCAGCTTCATGGCCCTTCGGGGACTCCGTACTCCTCCCCAGTGCTGCTCCTCTTGGCTCAAAGTATTCTACACACCTCCGTCGTCTAGACTCCAAACAAATATGACGCCAGAAAACCCGATTATCGCCTTCATAATACACCGTACCAGCAGAGTAACAGCAGAGTAAGAGGGATGCGTCAGGGGTATTAATGAGGTGAGCTCCATCCTGTTTCATGCACCAAAGGGCATTGTGGGAGCTGGATGCTCTTCAAAGGCCTCAGAGAGCAGCTAAGTTGCAGAGAGCTCAGGGAGCTGCTTCATATCTCCTCTTTTAGGTTTCCCCTCTCACTGCACGCTCTGTTAAACCGCCGCTGCACTTTGGCTTTGTCCTCATGAGGGATCAATTTGGGAAAGGAGGCGGTTGTGAGGAAGAGAAAAGTCGGCCGAATCACAAGTCGACGATTTGCGGCGTCTTGAATGTGTGGTTTCTCATATCGACGGGCTCTTTTTAGCGCCATTAAAGTAATGAGCACATGAAATGGAGGCGAGATTGTGTGTAAATGAATGACGAGCGAGTTTTCGTATTTATTCCTTTATGGCCGCCGCGGCTTTCTGCCGATTCGCTTGGTTCCCTGAGCACCTCGGCGCTGACCGCGCTGAGCGGTTAATGGCGACTGCTGCTGCCGCGACCGCGTTGAGATGTTATCATCAGCTGTGCAGTTGTCTCTACAAACCGCGTTTCAGCACAGCACGCTGCAACCATAATCCTGCAGGCGGTGGGATGAGCACACGCACACGCACGCATGTAAACGCAGCAGCGGAAGGATTATTGCACATATTATATTCAAAGTGACATGTTCACAGAAATACAAACTTCTCTGTGTCTTCGTCTTTCTCAGTCGTATACATTCGAACCTCGTCACCTGGAAGCCCCACATCTCTCATTTTCACCCTTTCATCCGCCCGCCAGCCTCCGCTCGACCTCGGCATCGGAGCGGACCGAGCGTCATGTCGGGGTGTTGGCATCGGGAATATCTACAACTGTAACTTCAAAGGAGTTGTTGATGTGTTTTTTACACCCGGCGAGCTGTTTCCTCCTCTTCTCTCTTTGTTTTAAAGGATTTAGTGGGGTTTAGTGACACATTATGTGTCTGAGATTTGAAAAGAAAAATACAGTTCCCAACCCGGTTAGAATGTCATAAAAAGCATGTTTTGTTCAGTCCGAGACAAACTGTGCTTCACCCCCCCGAAGCGAGAACACGCAATTTACTTCTGGGATTCAAACAAAACTACATGTTCGGGTTTGGAAAAGATGCTGTTTGGTTTGGAATACGTTCATAAGATTCCTCTGCACTGCAATCTGCTGGCTGGCTTTCTGTTGCGTTGCGTTGTGTTAGATTACTTAACGTTGTGTAGAGGTCTGCTTGCAGCATATTCAGGGCGAAGAATTGCGTTACATTGCACCGCTTCACATTGCTCCGCTTCTCATTGCTCCGCTTCACATTGCGCCGCTTCACATTGCGCCGCTTCACATTGCATCTCTTCTCATTGCGCCGCTTCTCATTGCGCCGCTTCTCATTGCGCCGCTTCTCATTGCGCCGCTTCTTATTGCGCTGCTTCACATTGCACCGCTTATTGCGCCGCTTCTTATTGCGCCGCTTTACATTGCGCCGCTTCACTTTGCGCCGCTTCACACTGAGAAGATTCACACTGTTAGATTACTTAACGTTGTGTAGAGGTCTGCTTGCAGCATATTCAGGGCGAAGAATTGCGTTACATTGCACCGCTTCACATTGCTCCGCTTCTCATTGCTCCGCTTCTCATTGCGCCGCTTCTCATTGCGCCGCTTCTCATTGCTCCGCTTCTCATTGCGCCGCTTCTCATTGCGCCGCTTCTCATTGCTCCGCTTCACATTGCGCCGCTTCTCATTGCGCCGCTTCTCATTGCTCCGCTTCACATTGCGCCGCTTCTCATTGCGCCGCTTCTCATTGCGCCGCTTCTCATTGCTCCGCTTCTCATTGCGCCGCTTCTCATTGCGCCGCTTCACATTGCGCCGCTTCACATTGCGCCGCTTCACATTGCATCTCTTCTCATTGCGCCGCTTCACATTGCGCCGCTTCACATTGCATCTCTTCTCATTGCGCCGCTTCTTATTGCGCCGCTTCTCATTGCGCCGCTTCTTATTGCGCCGCTTGACATTGCACCGCTTCTCATTGCACCGCTTCACTTTGCGCCGCTTCACACTGAGTTATGTTGCATTGCTTTTTTCCCCGCTACTTTGCACGCTGTATTTGGTTAATGAGTCCCATTGTTTTCCATTGTTTCTTGGATCGCTGCTTCAAGTTGCTTTACACTACATGATGCGAGGCTGAGTTGTTGATGTTTTACACCACAAAAAGCTTGGAGAGAAAAGAAGTAAAGCGAGGATACAAAGGGAAACAACTGCGTAAGATCATTAGAGGCAAAGGGGCCGATGACGACCCCCCCCCCCCCCCCCCCCCCCCCTTCTTGCCCACCCTGCAGCCACATCCACACAGGCTGCAATTAACCACAACAGAGAAGCTATTAAGCGTACTAATTACGGCTTGTTCCTTCCAAAGCCGCTCTACGCGTGTGGGTGAGCGCTCGCGTGTGTTGCTGGATAAGGACGCCATTTGAGCGGTGGGGGGCGCAGAGTTTCTCTGCATAATTGTGTGTCTCTTCTATTTATTTGTCACTGGACATGTTTTCCTCTTTTTTCCAATGAGTGTGTTTGTGTGTGTGTGTGTGTGTGTGTGTGTGTGTGTGTGTGTGTGTGTGTGTGTGTGTGTGTGTTAGTGCGACAA